ATAGATCAAACCGTGACCAATATGCATAACACAGAGCAAGCCACGGCTAATAATATTAATAATAATCCTTGCATTTGATATAGCGCCTTATCACGTCTTCAAGACATCTCAAAGCGCTTGACAGAATATACTGTAAAGTGAATTGACTGTAAATTTTGTGGGCAAAACGCGACAGCCATTTGTGCACAGCAGTGTCCCACAAACAGTTGTGGATTGAGTGACCAATTTATTTATTTATTTTGAAAGAATTATTACCCCTAGAAAAGCGATCCCTCAATCGATTAACAACCAGGTTCCTACTTACTGCTAGGTAAACAGAGGCATGTGGAGTAAGGAAACTTGCCATTGTTTGGAAGATAGCAAATGTAACACCACTATTTAAGAAGGGTGTTCGAGAGATGGGGAACTATAGACCAGTCAGTCTGACATCGGTGGTAGGGAAAATTCTAGAATCCTTAATTAGGGACATCGTAGTGGGGTACTTAGAAGACCATAATATGATTAGGCAGAGTCAACATGGCTTTACAAAAGGGAAGTCATGCTTAACAAATCTTTTAGAGTTTTTTGAGGATGTAACTAGCAGGTTAGATGGAGCATATTTAGATTTTCAGAAGGCATTCGACATTGTGCCACATAAAAGGCTGCTACACAAGATTAGGGCCCATGGAATTAAAGGCAATATATTAGCATGGATTGGAGAGCGGCTAACGGGAAGAAAACAGAGAGTAGGGATAAACGGGCCCTTCTCAGATTGGCAAGATGTGACTAGTGGAATTCCACAAGGATCAGTGCTTGGGCCTCAACTATTTACAATCTATATCAATGAACAAGATGAGGACATAGAACTTAAAAAATCTGAATTCACAGATGATACTAAGCTAGGTGGGAGAGTAAGCTCTGAGGATAACACAAAAAGATTGCAAAGGGCAATAGACAGGCTAGGCGAGTGGGCAAGAACAACAACAACAACAACAACAAGATTCCATTTATAAAGCGCCTTTCACGTCAGGAGGACGTCCCAAGGCGCTGCACAGTTGGGTCATGACCCGAGCAGGGGGGAAATGGTCAGGGTGAGGGGAGGGAAGGGAGGGAGCGAGGAGGGGGGAAATGGTCAGGGTGAGGGAAGGGAGGGAGCAAGGAGGGGGAAATGGTCAGGGTGAGGGGAGGGAAGGGAGGGAGCGAGGAGGGGGAAGAGAGTCGAGAGGGGAGCTGAAGGCACGGTCAAAGAGAAAGGTTTTGAGACCGGCCTTGAAGGAGGAAAGGGAGGAAGCAAGGCGAAGGCACTGGGGGATGGAGTTCCAGAGCTTGGGGGCTGAGAGGTTGAAGGCCCGACCACCGATGGTAGGGCGGTTGGGGCGGGGGACGTGGAGCAGACCAGAGCCAGAGGAACGGAGGGTACGGGCAGGTAGGTAGGGGATAGTAGGTTGGAGAGGTAGGAGGGAGCAAGGCCGTGAATGGCCTTGTAGGTGAGGATGAGGATCTTGAAATCAATCCTCTGGGGGATGGGGAGCCAGTGGAGGCGAGCGAGGGTGGGAGTGATGTGGTCGCGAAGCCTGGTGCGGGACAGTACACGAGCTGCAGAGTTCTGAATGACCTGCAGCTTGTGGAGGGAGGTGGCGGGAAGGCCGGCGAGGAGAGAGTTCCCATAGTCCAGCCTTGAGGTGACAAAGGCGTGGACCAGGGTTTCAGCAGCGTGAGGGGTGAGGTAGTGCCGTAGTCTGGCGATGTTCCGAAGGTGATGGAAGGCGGTGCCAGTTGTAGTGCGGATGTGAGGGAGAAAGGACAGCTCAGGGTCGAACAAAACGCCAAGGTTCCTGACTGGCTTTGAGAGGTGGAGAGTGCAGCCTTGGATGCTGATGATGCTGAAGGTGGTATATGGAATATAATGTGGGGAATTGTGAAGTTATTCACCTAGGCAGTAAAACAGAAAAGCAGATTATTTTCTAGAGGGGCAGAGACTAAGTAGTGTTAGTGTTTAGAGAGATTTGGGTGTCCTTGTACACCAGTCACAAAAAGTTAGTATGCAGGTACAGCAAGCAACTAGGAAGGCTAATGGCATGTTGGCATTTATTGCAAAAGGGTTAGAATACAACAGTAGGGAAGTCTTGCTGCAACTGTATAGGGCCTTGGTGAGACCGCACCTAGAATATTGTGTGCAGTTTTGGTATCCTTATTTAGGAAAGGACATACTCACCTTAGAGGGGCTGCAGCGTAGATTCACTAGGTTAGTTCCTGGCATGACGGAGTTTACCTATGAGGATAGGTTGAGTAAACTAGGCCTATATTCTCTAGAATATAGAAGAATTAGGGGTGATCTTATAGAAATATATAAGATTCTTATGGGGCTTGACAGAGTAGACAGTGTGAGACTGTTTCCCCTGGTAGGAGAATCTATAACTAGGGGTCACAGTCTTCAGATTAAGGGACAGCCCTTTCGAACAGAGTTGAGGAAACACTTCTTCACTCAGAAAGTAGTGAATTTATGGAATTCTCTACCCCAGAAGGCTATAGATGCTCAGTCCTCGGACATATTCAAGACTGAGATTGATAGATTTCTAAAGGATAGAGGGATTAAGGAATATGGGGATAAGGCGGGCAGATGGAGTTAGGTTAGAAGATCAGCCATGATCTTATTCAATGGCGGGGCAGGCTCAAGGGGCCGAATGGTCTAATCCTGCTCCTAATTCCTATGTTTCTATGTTGCCCAATGTTTTGCTCTGCCCAGGAAAGTGCTCTAACCACTGAGCTACAGGACTCCACATGTGTCTGAGATAACACAGAGTGAGCTATGATTGATGTGTATAACACAGAGCAAATATTACAAAAGTTTATTGCACAGTGAGAGAAATCTAATAACTCTCAAAGTGACAGAACATGTGAGAAATGTAATAAGTGAATACAGGTATACAGGAAGACAAGCTTTTTCCACTTGTTGGTGAATCCATAACCAGGGATTATAAAGATAAGATAGCCAGGGGCAGATTTAAAAGGGAATCCAGGAGGAACGTCTTTTTACATAGGATGGTGAGAATGTGGAACTCACAATCAGAAGCTGTAGTTAAAACAGAAAACATCAAAACATTTAAGAAGAAAGAAGGGACTCGGGGGTATGGGAGGGGGTTAGGGAAAGGGTAAAGGAATCATGGAAGTTCATGAGGAACATAAACACTGGCAGTTGGGTCAAGTAACTTATTTTGGTGTTACACACAATTCTATGTAAATATGTTCAATAGCTTCTATTTGTCTACGTAAACTACATTCTTTAAAGTTATCTGGAAACCACCACTATTTCTCTTTTGTTTTATACAATTGCCATTCCATTTCCTCTCCAGTGTTTGTTATTTCCATGTTATACTGGGTATTATTATAGCATCAAAGGTCACTACTATGACTACTGGAACTCAAGTGTGAGACAATGAGAAATACAGTGTTGCAATTCAATCCGGTAAACTTGTTAATACAGCTTCTGTACACCTAATTTAACACCCTGCTTCACAAGCTGTCTGAGATAAACTATCACTGATAAGCACCATGAAATCCTCACTTTAATTCTCCTTTAAAGTTGGGAAGGTGTCTCATGCCTATGAAACTATACCCCAAACAAAGTGAATGCCTTCAAGAGAGGAGGAAGGGAGTGGGAATTAGAGAGTGATACATCTCAATAACCTGTTCTTTCATTGTTAGTATCTATTTCACTGCATTTCTTAATCTCCGCAGATCCACAGGAGCTCTTCTCCAATAGTAGATGCTCTTCTCCAAAAGCAGAGTTGCTACAAGTCATTGTGGCCACATGTTACCAACTCCGAAAAGTTACTACAAGGCAACCCCATTATAACACCTGGTCCAGTATCTCACAGACTGTTACAATGAAGCATGAAAAAATGTCTGATATCGAAGTGCAATATAATTCAAATTTACATTTATACAGCACCTTTCACATCGGGAGGATGTCCCAGAGCGCTGAATACCACTTCATTAAGACATTAAGTACAATTTTATTATCACATTTAGATTCCTTCTGGCTTTTCTTATCTTCTATGAAGCCAACTTGAGCTTGTGATCAACGGTAGCTGTCAATTAATACTTTACGTGTTCTATAATATTACGGCAATTACTCCAGGTCATTGCTGATGACGGAACAGCCAGGCTGCCTCATCAGAAGGACTTGGAGCAGCAGAACAGTCACTGTGAGCAGCGACTCTACCCACTCAGCTCCTGTTAACCCTATAAGCCAGACAGTTCATGGAATATTGCTTCCTTGACAGGGAATCACAGATCATGTAGCTCAATAACCTTGTCCAACCCATCTTCAAAACAATACATAATGGATTGCCAAGTATACTATTGTTCATCCCATGGAAAATAAAAAAGATGGATACATCGAACTATAATTATGGAAAATTGCCATAAAGCTTCTGAATAAGTGAGATTTAAGGTAATAAGTGAAGGCGGCCATAATTCTAGTTTTAAGGTTATCACACAGTAAAGATAAAGAGATGTTATTTAAGACTCCTATTTAATAAGTGATCTTCACTGTGTGACTGGGAAAAGGCTTTTAGTTGATTTACGTTGCTGGAAGATGATTCCAATTACCTGACTACCATGAAGCAGTTATTGTATTGTTTGCTATACACTACTGATTACAGTTTTCTTCTTCACTAAAACACAACATTGAATAAATAATGGGGTTTAAATTACAGCATATTTATAAAATTTCCTTGTTAAGGAAATTGTGCAAGTGGGTACTTTGCCAGGTGCTGGAATAATGTTAATAACAACTTGCATTTATATAGTGCCCTTCACGCAGGGTAGTGTCCCGGAGTGCTTGAATGTCACTCTGAATCGCAGGGACTCAGCACCAACCTGATATACTTTTTAGCGATGCTTCTAAGGGAATTTGAATGAGATTGCTTATAGAAAATTCCACATTAAAATAAAAAACAAATTAGACCTCACCGGATTTTGTGCACTATTTATTGCATTCCTTTCTCGTATCTCACCTGGCACACCAGCATTTATCCAGTAATCGATGTCGGTACCTCCCCCATTTTCGTACAAAGCTGTGGCGTTAATCGGCTGTAGCAGCTTCATAATCTCCTTCATGATGGCCCGGGATTGGTTGGTGCCGGTAAACCTCAGGCCAAATGGGGTAAACGTTCCACTATCCGATTCCATCACCAGATTAAAGTTTGGCAGGTCTGCCTAACGGAGGAAAGAAAAAAACAAATTAGCTCTTATCTTGAGCAATTAACTTTTCTAGTCAAAGATGACAAGCTCATTCTTCATCATCAGAACAAATAAATTACTTGACTCAAAGCACACATATTTTGCTATGCTGGCATTAACTTCGAGTCCTGTAGCTCAGTGGTTAGAGCGCTCGCCTCGCAAGCGAGAGATCTGGGTTTGATTCCCGGCAGGGCAAAACCTTGGGCGAGTTTCCTTACTCCATATGCCTAATTATAATCCTTCAAAAAAAATAATAAAATTGGTACTTCAAACCACGACTGTTGTGGGACACTTCTGTGTGGAATTGGCTTCCACATTTCACCCACAAACATACAGTCAATTCACTTTACAGTATATTCTGTGAAGCGCTTTGAGACATCTAGAAGATGTGATAAAGCGCTATATCAAATGCAAGGATTATTATTATATTGTAATTTTAATATTTCAAATTGATTATTCGCTTTGATTTGTATGGATGAGATTTTACTTTTGTTTTTGGTTACTGTCAGTTCTACAATTATTGAATCTAATGTAATACATGCTATGGAATACACTAAACTCCTAATAACTAGACACGTGTCCCAGATGAAGCCAATGGAGAGCTCAGCATCCGGTAGCCATGGCTGAGAAGCTGTTGTCTCATCAGGAAGGATTCTGCTCCAAGCTGGGTGACTGGACCATTGTACCTCCTCTCCCCCGTTCCCCCCCACCCCCCCATACACATACACAAACACACAGGCCGAGGTTGTTGTCAGACACTTGGTGTGTAATTCTCTCTTTCTGACGCTCTCGATGGAATGCACTGTGATTAAATGGCCTGTCTTACTGTGTTACTTGACAAGTCGATATTATTCTTTCTGAAATTGTCAAGTCGACACTGGTACACACAGGAGTCCGTCTGTGTCGCATTCATGGGTGAAGTAAATAGCTTCAATGTACAGTATTTAGCAGAAAACTTGCTGTGTATGCGAGTGAGGGGGTAGTGGGGGCTTGTGTGGGGTATGAACACCAAAGTGGCCTGGTATCCCTCTCTAAATGTGGAGTCCTGTAGCTCAGTGGTTAGAGCACTCGCTTTGCAAGCGAGAGACCGGAGTTCAATTCCAGGCAGGGCGAAACCTTGGGCAAGTTTCCTTACTCCACACACCTAATAATAATCCCTCCAAAACAAAATAATGATAAATTGGTCACTTCAATCCACAACTGTTTATGGGACACTGCTGTGCGCAATTGGTTGCCGAGTTTCGCTCACAAATATACAGTCAATTCACTTTTCAGTCTATTCGGTGAAGCGCTTTGAGATGTCTAGAAGACATGAAAAGCGCTACATCGAATGCAAGGATTATTATTATTATTACTTGTTTGACTTGTCACTACCACTTAAGTCATCATACTGTCAATATTTCAGCTACATTTATTTATGTATTTATGCATATGCCTAACTTGCCACTCTGGATAACTCATCACTGACCTCTTTTCCTTGGAATGACGAGTTATCAGAAATTTATTCTACATACAATACAATAAAAATTTACATTTATAGAGCGCCTTTCACGTCGGGAGGAGTTTAAAAAGTTTAACGCTGCCTCTGGGCACCTGAGCTGGGATGTGAGCCAAGAAGCGTGGAGAGGAGAAAGATGAACGAAAGCATGGTCAAAGAGGTACATCTTGGATGTAAATATGTAATAGTTGTATTACATAGCACACAGTAAACTCTTGATATATCGTCACTCCAAGTAAAAAGAGCTCAGTGACTATAACCAGAGTGACAATATGGGCATGAATCTTCCGGGGTCACTCGGGTGAGTATGGGACGTACACCAACAACACTGTGTCTGACCAGTGAAGAGTGCAAAATGCATGGACGGAACTTCAGTGCAGGTGTCAGTGAGTGACTGGCCACAGATATGTCTGCACAATTCCTTGATTGCAGATGTGCCACTATGGCATCAAGCCACAGGCCCCAAATTTCTCTGAGTTTTAACCTTAAGATCATTGTCTTAAAATGTAAGATTGCACAGAATTTTTAAATTAAGTCTGGAAGCCATTTTTAAAAGCATATACACAGTCACTGACTTTACAGTAAATCCTGTGAGGCACTTTGAGACACTGACAACATGATAAGGTGTTACAGCAAATACAAGGACCATTGTTATTATGCTCAGTAACATTTACTTGCAAGCATTTTGTTTAATGTGGGCAGTTAAAGAGTGTGGTGGCCACGCCATCACTGAGTGCGATATAAACAGCATTTCCTCCAAAGAATCCCTTGGATGTCATACAGCATTGTGAGACTTTGACTTTAATGAGAGCTCAGGTCCTTGCTGAAAGTCCTGCAACTCCATGTGCGCCACAGGGGAATGCCGTGTAGAATGCCATGTCCAGGCTTCAGCAGTGTTGCCTCCATAGAACTCTTTAGATGCTTTAATCATTTAGCTTTGGAATGAGTTCATTTAAGTCAACCACACACAGTCAATTGCTGTCAGGGGACCTGCCTGAATTGTGTTCTGCTGACCACAAATGACTTTTTTAAAAAAACAGATGATGAAAGGCATTCAGATTCTCACTCCCATGACACTAGTTAAGCATCATTCAATCATCAGACAACATGCTGTGGGAAAACACAGTGCTGCTTAAATCAAGTCTGGTGTCCCCCATGCTTGTGGGCAAATGATGCCAGTGTAAAGCAGCACTTGAATTTAATTATCTTTTGAAGGTGATCAGTTTTGCTTCTGGCGACATTCCATTGCAAATTGCTTCTTCTGCGAGCAAAACCTATCCTGAATCTTGTTTTCCTTATTGCTTGCTTCGTAACATTAATCACTCCACCATGTGAGCAATCACAATGATGCCTTCATGACTGGAATGTGGTTGAAGTGGGGAAAGAAATAATAAGGATAAAAAAAACCATATATTTAATTGCAAAATTGTCTGTGTTGCTATAATTAATTTTATTCCTTTTTTTATATAGGTTTCTGTTATTTTCCCCAAGTGGTGATTGAGTACTGTAATAAGAAGGCATTAATCTTGATCAATGGCCTTGGTTTTGTGGTGGTAGAGTGTTAGGTGCAATGACTAAAATGTAATTCAATGCTCCTTTATTTTACATGTATCAAAGGGCCTGAGTTTGAATCTAACCATGGCACAGGTGTTGAAAGCAATCTCTTAGTGATTATTGTTGTTGTTGTTTACAGCTGAAATTCAGTGTTGGCAACTTTACTGCAGTCCTTTACTAAACTTGTAGGTTATTCCTGAACTCGGAAACGGTTATTTTTCAAGATTTGATTGAAATGAAACCTATTAAGTAGTAAATAGGTGATTCGTCCATCCAGTTATTTTGAAGTAACCAGTTAAAATTTGTAGATCATCTAGATAGAAAAACTCGTGATATCGTACAAATAGTTGGAAAGGGAAGCCAAGCATTGCCTCTGCAAAATTATGGTAAAATTAAGTCTTTTGAAATCCAGACCCTTCAGGGCAATTGCAGAAGATTGCATTTCCCAGCTGCCTCACAGTCCTGATTCTGTAAAATGTTTAATGTCAGACTTATATTAAATAAAATCAATTGCATTTCACTTGTTCCTAAATACTCTACAAGCTCTGGGAAATGTTCCGACCCATTTGCACTTGATGTGAAATACTTCATCCCTGTAAGATTTCTCCTAATGCAACTAAACATATTTCATGCATCTGCAAATCTCTGACACCCCAAAATAGAAATTCTCTTATTAAAATGTAAGTGTAATGACCGTTCTCTGGTCAGGAGGTGGCCTTCAATTACAAATGATGAAACACGAGTCAATTGACAATATTGATATTCTGGTGTCTGTTACCGACCAGTATCCAAGGCAGCCAGATGGTCTACCTTTACAATTATCTTTATTGTTCTTTGAATGCAACCTTGTGAAACTACAACAACTTGCATTTATATAGCACGCCACACACAGGAAAGAGTTCCAGAGTACTTGACAGTGGTGGAGCACGACGACAAGCCAGTGTAAGGGGAGGTGACCTTAGGTATGGTCAATTAGGAAGGTCTTTAGGTACGATCTGAAGATGGGGAAGGAAGGGGCAAAGTGGAGGGATAGACGAAGGGTGTTCCAGAGTTTCGGGGCACAGTGGCTGAAAGTGCGGACACCAATGGTGGAACGGAGGGCATGAGGGACATGCAGGAGGCTGGAGCCAGTCGAACAGAGGCAGTTTTGGGTTGTGGGCTAAGTAGGTCAGAGAGTTAGGGTGATGCCAGGGCATGAAGCGATTTGAAAACAAGTGTGAGGATCTTGAAATCCAATCTGTTGTGCTAGACCCATTGTCCATGAGGCTGAAACCACCGGGTCAGTGGAGTCTTTGAAGTGCCAATCAAACAAAAGCAGTGAAAATATGGAAATTCCAGTATAAGCACACATTTCAAATATTGCTGTTTTTAATGGTCAGCATCTGCATATTGTCAATTATAGATCCCAGTGCATTAAATTTTGAAGTACATTCAATATTTATCGTATTGAACATATCCTGATATATGGAGACGGGCCACTCACTCTGCGTTTCTCAGTAGGAATTAGTTGACAGTCAAGAGAGTCCAATACTGTGGATCTGGTTTCACAAATGTCACCAATGGAGAAGGATATCAGGGTTCACTTCCTACATGTTCTGGTACATTCAGGAGTCCTGTAGCTCAATGGTTAGAGCACTCGACTTTGCAAGCGAGAGACCTGAGTTCAATTCCAGGCAGGGCGAAACCTTGGGCAAGTTTCCTTACTCCACACGCCTAATAATAATCCCTCCAAAACCAAAACCAATAATAAATTGGTCATTTTCAATCTACGACTGTTTGTGGGACATTGCTGTGCGCAATTGACTGCCGCGTTCGCCCACAAATATACAGTCAATTCACTTTAGTGTTCTGTGAAGCGCTTTGGGATGTCCTCCTGACATGAAAAGCGCTATATCAAATGCAAGGATTATTATTATTATTATTATTATTACATTTGATGTCCCATATGATAAATGTATTACTAAATTGACTCCAATAACTGTCCTGGAATTTTACACTGTCTGATGTGTTCTCCATGTCATGTGATCTTCCCCTATTATCATATTACCCCCACCCCCTGCACATACACAAACACAATCATACACACACACTGACAAATACAGTGGAAGTCAGTTAAACCGGACACATCAGAGATGGACGCAAACCCCATATAATAATAGGTAATAATGTTGTTTCACTTGAAGCAATGATAACTAAGCAGTTAAACTTCAAACACTTGCACACAATTCAGTAAAATATATTTATCTTTGTTTGGCTGCAACTGAGAGTGCAGCAGTGTCCGCCCAGCAGAGGAGCAGCGGTGCCGCCTCCCTCCCATTGCCCTTCCATTTGGACGGGAAGGGGACCAATTAGCGGTGGCGCTGAGGTGATTGACAGCCGGCAGTCACTTGTGAATGTTTGGGCTCCAGCCAATGACAAGAGGCTCAGCTGTCAATCAATCGCAATTTCACTTCCTTGTTCTTCCCTGTTCCTCCGCCCCCTCACTGATTGACAGCCCAACTCCAGCTGGTTGTGAATGGCTGGAGTCCACTGTCAATCGCAATTTGACTCCTCCCTTTTACTTGCGGGAGCCCCTCATGGCTGAATGGAGCCACTGGACACACAGAATGCCTGAGTGAGTAAGTGCAGCGCGGCATTTTGACTGGACTAACCAGATTCTTGTCCAAATGAACCGGAATATTTAAAACAGGTAAGAATACAAATCAATCGGGGCCGGGCATTTCGTTTGATTTACATGTTAATCCAATTCATCAAAATTCTTTAATTTCTGACTACTTAGTGTGAAACTGAGCCACACCAGTCTCAGATCTAAACGATGGTTTGTGCTGAGCAAACTATGGTAATAGAGGCACTACAATAGGCCTCAGGACTCCTGTATTAGGGAAGCAAGACATGAGCCAGGGTTCCTGTTTGGATCGCATGTAAATTAGATCTTGACTGCTATCCAATAACCCTTACTGGAAAATGCATGTGTGTGCGACTGGTTAAGGAAAGCAACAAGTTTAGTTCTAATGCCCCCAAAGGTTGAATGGTGTTCTGACACTCACTGCCTGGGTTCACACAGTGAATCATGGCCACAGAGCAAATAATGCTTGTGGAATTGTTCCGCAGTAATGAGTTAGCAGTGGGAGAAAATTGAAGGGGAAAATGAAAGAAGACAATAGTGTTTAGTAAAGGTGTGAGGATTGCTCCAGATGGTCACTTCACAACAAGAGCCTAAAGCAAGTCTTTTGATGTTGCCAATGAAGGGGCTATAAATTCAAAGGGAAGAAGCTTTCACTTTATCTTGTGGATGAACTGTCAGTAAGTACCACAAAGACATTCATTCCCCCATCCACTCAGAAATACATTGCTGGATGACAGGTACCAAAGCTTTTGTCACTGAATGAAACAAATGACTGTCTGGATTCACATATTTTTAGCCAATTGGTGCAGTATTCCAGATCTCTGGAGATATATAATCATCCAAGTCTATCTTTAATCTCTTATGGCCATAGTGGCGGTAAAGAAATCACTTCAATTTCTCAAACAAGATGAAACGTTAAGAGAATTTTAGGTTGAAATCCTGGAGATCCAATCCAGTTAAATATAAGATTGGAGCAGGAGAGTCACAGACACACACGGAAACATTTAAAGACACGCACACGCACTCACACACACAGAGGCAGAAAGGCAAACAGATAGAGCCACAGACCTTTTATCCACAATGGGCCTCTACAAATTCATGTAGATATTGGTCACTCTACTGTACTTCCATAAATCCGGAATCTGGTGACAGAACCTCATCATTAGATTACAATGTTTCTCAGAACAGTTTGCTTGCTTGCTGTCCAGGCTGAAGAATGGTACATAATAGCAGTTGCATTGATATGTCTAATACCATCAAAACATCTCAAACATTCAGGCAAGCGGGTTACTTTGGAGTGCTGTAACTGGATGTAGGCATCATGACAGCTAATCTGAGCAGCAACATCCCACAAACAGCGATATTGGAAATAAGCACATTTTATCTGAGATTTTTTTTGTGAGCTATCATAGAGGAACAACAACAACAACTTGGATTTATATTGCGCCCTCCACGCCGAACGATATCTCAGAACGCTTTACACAGCTAATCTGTCTGAAGCCTAAACAATGGTCAGGACAGCAGGAGAGCTTCCTATACTGGTCTCCAAAATAGTACAATGTGAATTTTACATCCATCACCAGATTAGAGAGATAGAACCTCAAATTAACATCTGATTCAAAGCATAGTACCTCCAACAATCCAACTCATTCTCATTATAACACCAGAGCATCTGCCTAGATTACGATCTTATAAAACCCAAAAACTTCTGACCCAGAAACAAAAACATGATCAAGTGAACCACACCAACAAATAGGGAAAAAAACTCCAGATAAAGGGAGCTTTCTTTATAATCATAATAATAATTACCATCCATTACCTTATGAGACTCATAATACTGGCTTGCTCCAACACCACCTGGTTCCTCGGCAGTCCAGAGGACCAAACGTATAGTGCGTTTGGGACGAAGACCTTGAAAAAACATTCAGAAGTTATGGAATCTGCTACAAAGCAACATAAGATAATTCAAAATATCATGTTACCATAGCTGCTTCACACTTACTAGCTTTCAATTATAAGGTAGAATCTTATTATATTTACATTGGATTAATTGCAAATTCCCACTTAATTTGTTCACAGTCAAAGTCCCATGCCCAAACCAAACTTTGTCATGTTGTATACTGCCTTTAGAGAGTGATTTTCTGGACATCTCTGCTGGCTGGTAAATTTATTGACCTTGACCATAATCATTTATAGTCTGCATCTTGGGACATTTCCTCACTTTGGTTATGTACAATTTGGTTCACGTTCTAGGTTGGCACTCCAGTGCAGTTCTGGGGGAGTGCTGCACAGTTGGATGAAAAGTTAAATTCGGGACCTGTCTTCCAATTCAGATTGATGTTAAAGATCCCACAACACTATTTGAAAGACAAAGGAGTTTCTCCCCGTGTTCTGGCCAACATTCTTCCAGATTAATTGATTATTTGCCTCATGGCTGTTGGTGAGACATTGGTGGTGCAAATAGCTGTTGTGTTTGCTCACAAAAATAGTTACTCCACTCCATAGGATTTACTTATGAAATGTTTTGAGGTGATACAGCCAGCAAATAATATGGGCGTACTACAAAGGTCAGTAAATTTACATGTGTGAAGGTGCAAACATTTGTCGTAACTTTTGGGAGAGCCAGAGTATTACTGTTCCTAAGAGAAAAGGGAGGTAATGAGCAATGCCAGTTCAGCATCTTTAATTTACAAAATTTACACTGGAATTTACCATCCTCTTATTTCTAATTTTCTCCATTTATTCCATCTATCCTCACCGAAGTGGAAATTCTCCATGTTCTGGCCTAGACTATGAGTGTCAGTGGACCATTAAACTGGGCTAGAGAAGGAGATTATTGGAGAGTAACCATTATACTCTTTGATCTGGATTATTAACATCTTTTGTACAGCTCCTTTTTGAACAGCACATAGAGGATATAACAAGAGCCAAGATAGTTGTACTTTTTCTTTTGGTCCAGCGAGTGTCTGACACTGGCAGAAACCCATACGTGTTTAAGAATATCCAAAGCAACCCAAGAATTCCATGCATCCCACCAACGTATGGAAATTCCCATTTTGGAATGCAAAGAACACTCTCTCCCCAAGGGACATAAACTGCTTACCTAATTCCGGAGAATATAAAGCACAGGTTGGCAAGAGCAAAGGCCTGGGGACCCCAGAGTGTGTGTTGGGATACTGCTGGAGTTTAACCAGCTAAAACCGCATAGCTTGCAGTTGGTGAGCGCAAATGAGATGTTTTGCTTTTCCCACAAGTGCTGTGTTTTGTTGACTAGAAAACTACATTCACACAATGTGGAAGTTATTCCAAATTTACTCAACCTGCAATTTTTATAATGGAAAACAGAAGATTGAACCTTACTTTCTGAACAAGTTATAAGTCAGGCCAATGCAGCAAGCTCACTGAGAAATAAATCCACATTTTGCATTTAGTGAAAGGCTGCAGAGATAATTCCACTGTCCATTTAGAGTGAGTTGAAAACACTGCCTCTGGTTAAACTGCAGATAAGCCGATTAGCAAAAGGCATTCAGATGTTCACTTGAATATGTTCTGTAAAGACTGTGAACCAAGGGAATTCCGAAATGGCTTGTTTTAATCCAGTTGCATCATTTTAATCATATGAGCTGTTTCAACTGAGTTTCATTTGCAAATTGTATTTGCCCTTCAGGCTCAAACGCTTTAAAACAATTGAGGAAATAATGATAATCTTGAAAAAGACAGAATTAATCTTTCTTTTAAAAAAAACTCTTCAACCATTCCCCATGCCCATTCAAGCATCTTTGCATGCCTCATGATACTTAGTTAACTGGAAGTGACATGAAGATGACAATCTAAATGTAGACTGACAGTAACAGAGTAACCTCATCCTACCAAAATGAATAAAATTCCATTAAAAAACAATGGGACCCTGTTTCATTCTCATTTTACGTAGGATTAAAAGTACTTTGCACTGGTTACTGCCACAGACAGAGTTTTGTGCAGCCTGCAACTACATGCAGTCTGATATATGGTACAGGGGTTTGTCGACAGAGATGCCGGCAAAATTGCAACAATGGCATTTCAAAGTCTGTATCAAATGTTTTCATCAACAGCATGCTGCAAATGTGATGCATAGATCTGACTTTAAGCCTCAATTTTAAATATAATTTTGTTCTTTAAAGAGCTCATATCCCCGAAGGGGCAAAACTCTTTGACAAAATAGAAGATTGATGCATGAAAGTAAGAAAAAAGCAGATGGAATCTCTCTCTTATTAAGTGTAGTAACAATGAAATTGATGCATTCTGTGTTGGTGAGCATCAAAAAGAGTACTCTGCACTGAGCTATGCTATCGCTAAACAATGGCTTTAAGGGCACTAGAAGAGAGTACAGAGGTGAGCAATGCCGATGATTCCCATGATTAAAGGGATGAGCTATCAGGAATGAATAATAGAGCTATCAGGAATGACTAATTGGAACACTAGAGCAGGGTGACTAATCTTTATGGCAAAAATCAAGAAATATTTAATCAAGAAAAAAATGAAAACACTACATGGATTTACCTAGACTAGTGAGAATTTTGGGGGAAGTCTTGACAGCTCCACAGGCCACTTCAGCCCACAGGCCACAAGTTGTCCACTACTGATTAAAGGATTGCAAAGAAGTGAAATTGCATTACACTGGAGGGAAGCCTTACACAGGAACATTATAAGAATGTACAAGACCAGAAAATGCCATTTGGCCAATCCCAAAGTAAGAACAAATATTATACACTATTCTGCCCTCTGTTTCGTTCCAATAAATTCCCTCTGGAATATGATTGCCCATGTCATTTCTTTGATCAGGAAGAGTTTTAGCAGTTTAGTGCTGTAATCCCACCCAGGCCACCTGCCCCAATCCCACCCAGATGTCGTTGACATCGGTGGCTTCTCATTTCAGCCACTAGAGGGAGTGCCTCACAATGCTGGAGCATCCATCTCAGGGCACTAGTCAAGAGGACCAGCCATCCCCACGTGTAGCCCTGCTGTTTGCTGACACAGAGCAGCATTGACAGCAGCCATTCCAGGGAGAAGGCTGTAAAATGGTTGAATAAGAATTAAAAACTAGTAAAAAGCTGGAAAAATAGAGTTCCAATGTATAGGTATCCAACCGGCCACATTCCTGCAAGGAGACTTCAGAAGGTTTCAGATAACTGCCAATTGAACTGTTTCTCTTTCCACACAGATATCACAATGTGCACTCCAGAGACTGCCTTTTTTGGTTTCACATTACTTTTCTTTTTCGATCTGAATTCCAAGCAGTGCAAATTGTTATTACCTTCTGACCCTTGCGATATAAATGTGTTTTCAATCTCAGTGCTTGCAGCTATCACAGCGGCAGCTGAGCGCTTGTGTATTATACCTGCAATAGTGAAGCGCGATAACCCTATCACACTGTGGGTCATGCGATCAAAGAAACAATCACAGCTAACAATCAATAACAACTCAAATCTGGCTGGATAGTCACAGCAACCAACCCAAGAGCAGAATTCCAATATACCATTTCCTGTCTTGCAGAAATCATGGTTCCAGAGCTTTTCTTCGCAAACAGCTTCACTCATTCAAACGAATTCTGACACCAAAAATGTGAAGGAAAACAAAGCTAAGCCAATGACAACAAATGTTAAGAACAACAGCTTCTTGCTGCCTGTCCTGCCAAATCAGTTGCATTCAGATCCCCACATGTCATAATAAAGTGCTCTGGACAGGCCACACCTAGAGTAATTTATTGATTTGGAATCCGGGCTGTTGGTGGCATTTACTTCGATATATAAGAAGGGCAAATCCCCACAAAGTACAGGGCAACAATACCATTTGAGTTAAATTAAACCTAGACAGATCCCTGATTGTGTATGCAACTGCTTGATCGAATCTTCATTGGCACAGAAGCACCTGAACTAATTGAAGGTGAGCTCAGCACAGGTGCGATTAAACCTGACATTGATGGGAAATCAAAGAGGTTTCAACTCCAGTGCTGCATTGTTTAAATACAGCACAACCCCATTATCACACTACCGCGCTATTGTGCAAGTCCTCCCATAACATGTATGTACCGTGGACATGCAAGAGCAGTTGCCAGCTTTCTTTGCTGCACACACAACACACAGGATGTGTGCTCGCTGGCAGCCATTTTCACAGGAAGTAACATGAATGATGCATTTTTATGGGTTTCTCGGCCCTATGCTTCATTCTTTAGTTGCTCTTCTGGCCTCAAAGGCTGAGTGAGTTTGACTCAGTAAGTTTGACACCTGGAATACAAGAACCTATACTCTTTTTTTGCGGTGATCAAATATAACATAAAACACAATGACTCTTGTCCTGTAATTCAAGGAGGTAATATGTGGGTGGGGTTCAGGGTACAGACTTAGTATCAACATCAAAGAAAGATGGAATGGTTGCATATTGGATAATTACATGATGAGCCTTGTTAATCAGATGTTAATCAGAACATCAGGTTCTGAGGTAGAACCTGCCTTGGGGAAATTGAATGGATGCATGAGCATCCATGAAATGGTATGAATTGTACATATCAATTCCCTTTCTAATGCCATGCTTTCCTAAGTTCTTACCATTCTAAATTCTACGAGGTGCAGTATATTTGAGCATCTGAATTCCCGAAATGATTTACTTTGTTGTGGTTCCCCTGCCCTCAACCACCGCCCCACACCCACCACCACCAGATTTCTAACCGGTGGGACTATACATTGTTACTTCAAAGCCTGAAATTAAAGATAAGGAAACATTCTGAGTTGCCTGCTACCTGTATTGGCTTACTCAGTGTAACAGTTTTCTGTCAGATGTTCAATTATGTTTCAGCACGGCAGGCGACACTGTGATTACTACTGTGCAGTGTGTTCAAACTGGATATATATTTACTTGAAGTGATAATTGGAGTG